GATTTTCCCATAACATCCTGGTCTTTGGAACCTAACCATGTTGATAAGTGAGGAGTGGGTGTAATGGCTTCTCTTTTATTTCTGATTTTAGTAATTTGAGTCTACTCTTTGTTTTTCTTGGTCATTTGATTTTGCTGACTTTTTCAAAGAACCAATTTTAGATTTTGTTGATTTTCTTGGTTGTTTTTCTATTCTCTGTTTCACTAATATCTATTCTAATTTTTGTTATTTCATTCTTTCTGCTTGCTTTCATTTTATTTTGCTCTTCTTCCAGTGTCATAAAGTGGAAGATGAGGTTGTTGATCTCTATTCTTTTTTAATGTAGGCATTTATAGCTATAAATTTCCCTTTCTGTACTGCTTTAGCTACATTCCATAGATTTTTGTATGTTGTGTCTTTATTTGCATTCATCTAAAAGTATTTTATTTTCTGATTTCTTGTTTGACTCATTGTTTATTTAATAGTGTGTTTAGCACACTTGTGAATTTCCAAAATTTGCTTCCATTATTAATTTTCTATTTTCACTCCGCCGTGATTGGAGAGCATAGTCTGTAGGATTTCAGTTCTTTTAAATTTATTGAGGCTTGTTTTATGGCCTGGTTATGGTATATCATGGATAATGTTCTATGTGAGCTTGAGAAGAATGTGTGTTCTTCTGTTGTTGGGAAGAGTGTTCTATAGATGTTCTTTAGGTCTTGCTTGTATATAATGCTATTCATGTCCTTTATTTACTTGTTGATCTTCTGCCTAGTTGTTCTAATATTGAAAATGGGGTATTGAAGTCTTCAACCATTATTGTTGAACTTACTATTTCTCCCTGAATTCTGCCAGCCTTTGCTTCACATGTTTTGGGGCTCTCTGTTGTTAGGTACATATATATTTATAATTATTATATATTATTGACGATTGACTTTTATCATTATAAAATATACCTCTTTATCTCAAGTAATATTTTTGTTTTCAAGTGTATTTTACTTGATACTAGTATAGCCACATCAGCTTTGCTATGATATATCCATGGTATATAATTTTTCATCTTTTTTACTTTTAACCTATTTGTATCTTTGAATCTAAAGTGTATCTCCCGTAGACAGTGTATAGTTGGATTTTTTTTAAATGCAATCTGACAATCTCTGCCTTTTGACTGGCCTGTTTAATCCATTCTCATTTAATGTTATTATTGACATAGTTTGATTTACATCTTCCATTTCACTTATTTTCCATATGTCTTTTTCCAGATGTCTTTTAATTAATAAATTAATTTTTTTATCATGGTAAATATCTATATAACAAAAAATTGCCATTTCAACATTTCCACATATCTTTTTTGTTCCTTCATTACTCCTTTACTACTTCCTTTTGCATTAAGTGAATATTTTCTAGTATAACATTCAGTTAATTTAATGATTGATATTTTTTATTTGCTTTTGTTTGCTAATCTAGTCCAACACCAGATGACCAAAGCCAAGAAATTAATCTCCATCAGGTTTCAGCTGTAGTCCCTATAACAGTAGGTGAATTCCTCTTTTAACAAGGTCCCCAAAATTTTCATGGTGACTAATACTTTGCATGGTGTCTTTCTTAGAATTTATCCAGACATCTAAAGATTATTCACCAGTTTACCTAATTTAATATCAGTCTAAGTTCATAAAGTTAAAGACCTTGGAAATTATTTTAAGCTGATATATTACAATCACTGATGATATAAAAAATTTAGGAAATTCAGTGTGAATTTTTCATGATAGTCCCCATCACTTTATTACTCCATCTTGTTTTATATTCTTCATAACTATCACAAACTGATATCATCTGGCTTCTTTATTTGTTTACTTATTTGCTGTGATTATTTTCCCACTAGATGCAAGCACAGAGCCCTGGTGGTGCAGTGGTTAATAGCTCAGCTGCTAACCAAAAGGTCAGCAGTTCGAATCCACCAACCACTCCTTGGAAACCCTATGGGGCAGTTCTACTCTGTCCTGTAGGGTTGCTATGAGTCAGAATTGACTTGGTGGCAGCAGGTACAGTATGGATAGATGCAAGCACAATGAGGGAAGAAAATTTGTCTTCCTTGCTTCTGTACCTCAAGTGCCTAGAACATGCCATAGACATTCAATGAAGAATTTTGAATGCAGGAATACATGAATTAAATTTCTACTTATAATAATTGTATCAGACTGGAGTATAAGCCTCATTTTATATTTTACAAGTGAAGGAACTGAAGCATCAGTAATCCTTTAGCTATTGCGTGATAGACTTAGAATTCTGGTTTCCTGATTTCCAACCCAATATACTACATCATTCTTACAATTAAATAAATATACTTGTACAAGTGAAAAATGAAAGGAAAAAATGTCTGTATAGATATGATTCACAGAGAAGTTACCTACTATGGATTGCATCCTAGTGAGGGCCTCTTTAGGCAGTTTTGAAAAAAGCCAATGTCAATTGTCTACACTTCTTCTGTACAAATTTCCTCTACTCTCAGGGGTCCACCAGTGTGTATTACTTCTTTTTTTGAGCTCTAATTTGGAGTACTTGTAATTGAAGACCCAGTAAATGAGATGTGAGTTGTTCCCTGATTTTAGTTGTAACAAAAGCCTGTTGCTGAAATTGACTATTTGTTTCCCCCTAACCTCCTCGAAAGGCTTCCTGAGTGGTGTAAGTGCTCGACTACTAGCTGAAAGGTTGGCGGATCGAACCCACCCAGAGGCACCTCAAAAGACAGGCCTGGCGATCTGCTTCAGAAAGGTCACACCTTTGAAAACCCTATAGAGCAGTTCTACTCTGTATACATGAAGCTACCATGAGTCAGAATCAACTGGACAGCACCTAACAACAACAACCTCCCCAGCAGGTCCGCAGGTAATGCAAATGGTTTACACCTGACTACTAACCTAAAGGTTGGTGGTTGAAGCCCACCCAGAGGCGCTGCAGAATTTGAAAGGCCTGGCGATCTGCTTCCGTAAAGATTATAGCCAAGAAAACCCTATGGAACAATTCTATTCTGTAACACACGGGGTCACCATGAGTCAGAATCAACTCCACAGCAAGGGGATCCTCCGCAATACAGCATCCATTACTCTTCCCTCCTAATGTCTTCTTAGCAAAATCAGTCCAGCTGAAGTGTCAGACTTAAAGCTGTACCCTTTCCATAGGGTATTTGAACTTTCTTTTTTGGTTTGCTTTTGGGTTCTCAGGGCAATTCAATATGAAAGAGATACTGATACACTGCGAAGTGGAAAAGGCATACTAAGCATGGCTCCACATTCTCTCACAGGAATGTCAATGTTTGCCGCAGGGCAGATGGAGTTAACAGTTGTCCAGCCAAAGGAGCCCACCCCCCTTCCTGAGATTGTCCTCCTTTACCTTTTTTTTTTCCTTTAAAAAAGAATTTTGGGTTTAATTCGTCACAATTGTGTAGTACTTGGAGCCCTGGTGGCATAGTCGTTAAGAGCTACGACTGCTAAAGGTCAGCAGTTCAAATCCACCAGCCGCTTCTTGGAAACCCCGTGCGGCAGTTCTACTCTGTCCTATAGGGTCACTATGAGTCAGAGTCAGAACAGACCGGATGGCAGTGGGTTTGTGTGTGTGCGTGTGTGTAGTATTTACTTGTTTTTAGGATCTCACAGTTCTCTTTTGATTAAAATATGTTGTTGGGAGACACCCTCAGAATTTCTGTCGAATCACCCATATCAATCCCCTTCATTTTCCCTCTAAAAACCTGACACGTGGTCACGATGATTTAGGAGTCATTTCTGCTAACCTCATCCATAAATCAGAGGAAACAGTAGAGGAGTAAATTTAGGGATGTGACGCCCTATCACACTGAGACCTTAGTAAGGAAGGCAGTGTGGTTTTTACCATATCCGTTTGCCAAAGGAAGAAAACTGAAACACCACTGGAATCCAAGACAGCAAGGTCTGGCTGATAGTGTGCCGAGGCGAAAGCTCTTTTTTTTTTTTTTTTTTTAAGAGAAGTGCGATTGATGAAAGCTCTACTGCTGAATTAAACATTGTGGTGTCAGGATGGGACCCGTGTCCCCCCATCACTCCATACATCTCAGAAGGGGGTTAGTAGATGGCAGAGTTGGCATTGCTCTGTCTGGAAGCTAGACCTCAAACAGATGGCATGGAAAGTCTCTTAGACGCTGAACTCTAATGGGCTGTCACCTTGAACTGGGCCATTTAATTGTCATCACAAAATAAACAGGATGTTCAGAGGCATGTTACAGCAGACAAACAACCCGATTCACACTGGTCCTCTAAGTCAATTCTCTCACCGGGCTAGGATACAGGTGTTCCACTTTTGTGGATTGCGACTCTTGGCGACCTCATGTGTTACAGAGTAAAACTGCTCCATAGGGGGCCTTCTTGGCTGTAATCTTTACACAAACACTTCCATGGTCTTCCGCAGTGCCGCTGAGTGGGTTTGAACCGCCAACCTTTTAGGTTAGTGACCAAACCAAACCAAAACCATTGCCGTCCAGTCGATTCCAACTCAGTGGCTGATGACAAAATGCTCGCGCCACACAAACAGCTTAGCCTCACTTTTCAGAGAATCAAAGTCGGAGAGGCAAGCCCGTTGTTAAGGATCCTGTCCCCAATGCGTTGCAAAGCAGGACCGCTAAGTCCCAACTGGTCCAACCAAACTTCTTTGCTATATTTTCCCGTGAAGAGACTACAGCTGGTAAGGATCTTCTACGACACATTTTAGGCCAACCCATCGGTTTACAACACGGGGAGCGGAGACTCCGAGAGGCAAAGCCACTTCTCGAAGGCCAGGGGCAAGTCTGTGGATAGTCCGAGAAGGGGAACCCGAGACTTCGGTTTCTTCTTTTCCTCGCTGGCCGCTTTCTCACCCGCAACCGGCGGGGGAGCCAGGGGCGGAGCTGAGCAGGGTTTGCACCGACCCGGGGCCCGGCTTTCCGGGGCGGTTCCTGGCGGCCGCGCATTCCTGAGCGACCCGAGCAGAGCGCGCGGAGGCGGGAGCCGCGCGTACCGGCCTCTTCTGCGCGTTCCCGCCTCCCCAGAGCTCGGAAGAGCCCTGCCACGATCTTCGCGCTCGCAGGGGCTGAGATTCCAGGGCTAGGGGCCGCTTCCTGCTGCCGGAGCCGGAGCCGTCCGGGGACCTCGAAAAGCGCGCAGGCCGTCCCTGTCTCTGGAACTTTCCGCTGACCTTCCGCGATCCGACTGCGGCGGGCCCGCGGTGTTTAAAAGCAGTTCTGTGGATCCGGGGTGAGTGGGACCATCGGGTATCGTTTGTGGGGCTCCGGTCGAGCGGAGCTGTTCGGACTCGGAACCAAACCCTCGTACTGTCTTTTACCCCAGTGCCCTCCCAACTCCCCCTTTTCACCCTCTCTTCTACCCCTTCCTCACTTTTGATTTCTTGCCCTTCTCCTTTTTCCCCCTCTTCTCTCGCTCTGAGCCCCTAAGTTCCAGCCACCTTGGGCCTCCGGGAAGGCCGGAGTTTGGGTGAGTGAGCCTCAGCCACACACACGGAGACGTGCTTCTCTCCGGCTTCCCTGCTTCTGCCTTGTCGGGAAGCGCGTCCCTTGCTCCAGGAGGCTCTGCCGCCTTTGTGCTCTCCTGGCCGGGCGTCAGATCTTAGCTCTCCAGCCTGAGGCACCCGCGTGGGTGCTGCGCTGGGAGTTTGGTTCTTTGTGCCACTCAGAGCAGCGGATTATCTGTCCCGCTTCTCTAAGAGCCCTGCATAAAAGGAGCCAGGAATTTAGAGTCTGGGATGGTGAGTTCCAGTCCTGGCTCTGTCACTATTTGACCATCCCATCTCCAAGCCTCGTTTCTCCATCTGTGGAATGGAGAAAATAACCTTTGTGTACAGGATGCAAATGAGAAAGGGGGTGTGAAAAGTATCTTTGAGAGAAACCTTCCTTCCAAGCTCCCTCCTCCTCTGGGCTGTCTCTTCACTTAGGATTTAATTGTTGCAGTTGTCTTATTTTCTTGCACTCCATCCCTCCTTCACAAACATGTAAATTCCTTGAGAGGAGGGTCTGTTTATCTGTCCTGATCCCTGAGACATCGTCAGCACTCCACACAGGGCCTGGCAAGTAGTATACAGTCAATACCTGTTTAACTGAGTGAAAAAAGAAAGATGTGCACCATGAAAGTCAGGGGTGGACATTTTTATTGAGAGTGGTCAGGCTGGGCTCTTAATCATGGCAGCTTCACTTGCTTCTTGCTAAAACAGTTGCCTTTGAGTCTGTTGTTACTCATGATGACTCCGTGTGCTGCATCGGGTTTTCAAGCAGATTGCCAGGCCTTTGAGAAGCAGATTGCCAGGCCTTTCTACCCTGGCATCTTTGGATGGGTTCAAACCACCAACCTTTTGGTTACTAGTTGAGTATGTCAACAGTCTGTACCTCCCAGGACTTTGCTGTCTATAAAACCAAAACCAAACCTGTTGCTGTCAAGTTGATTCCTACTGATGGTGATTCCATGTGTTACAGAGTAGAATTGAGCTTCATAGGGTTTTCTTGGCTGTAATCTTTATGAAGGCAGGTTACCAGGCCTTTCTTCCTTGGTACTGCTGGATTGGTTTGGGCCACCAACTGGTTAGCAGCCAAGTACAAACAATTTGCACCACCTGGGGACCTTCTCATTGTCTATAGACAGTGAATATTAAACTCCCAAAAGCTCCAGGCTGTAGTGGTGGAAGCTGCTCAACTGGTTGACTATCAAAGGTTTCTTGAACATCACCTCTGTATCTGCTATGATCCATGGTATCTGCAGTCGGTAAACAGTCAGTAAGGACTGTGAACGCCTGATTGGGCTGGGTGTGGGAAGAAGAGTTCCCTGGGAGCCAGGAGACCCTCTGAGGCATTTCCCTTCTCTGACCTCACCATCCCAGCTATAAAATGAAATGGAATGGAAGTGGAACAGATGTGTATGTGTGTTTGGTTAAGCCCACTTGACATGTTCCTTGGGTTGTGCAGACCACTCAGCATCCCTCTGAGCACACACAAGACAGCCCAGCTGAGTTTCAGAACATCATGTATTTCTACAGTGACAAGCAAAAAAGCCCAGGGGAAGCACTTCTCTGGCAGTGAGCTGCTGCCTTCAGCTGTCTCAGGGTTACAAGTCATGTTCCATCACATCTGACCTCTGGATGGTGGACCCCATGCTGAAAGGTCAGGAGATTCCTCGCCCTGGCACAGCCTGTGAATCACTGAGCTGTGGTGAAGTGTTTGAGACACAAAGCAAACTAGAGACTCTGGGGGCCTGTGGTTGGGAACAGCCCAACTTGGATACTATGACAGATTAAGGAGGTCACAGCCTTAGATACTTTCTCAGCCACATTCTGATCTTTCCTTAAAAAACTTGCTTCTTTTTCTTCTCTATGGGTTGCAACATACAAAGGCAGTATCTCCAAGTAAAGAGGTTCTTTATCTTGGCTTGTCTTACACTGCCACTATTGGCAGTGATATCAAAGATAGGCACTTGAACTCACACTCACGGAGTCCCTCAGTGGTACAAACAGTTAAGCGCTCGACTGCTAACCCAGAGGTTGGCAGTTTGAACTCACCCAGAGGTGCCTTGGGAGAAAGTCCTGGTGATTTGCTTCCAAAAGGTCAAAGCTTTGAAAACCTACGGAATATGGTTCTACTCTGACACACTTGGGGTTACCATGAGTCGAAATTAATTTAACGGTAACTTTTTTTTTTCCCACTCACACGGTTTATAGGAATAATTGTTGTCATTAGCACAGTCTGCATCTCCCATCTGGAATAATCCAGGTAACCTGAATGATGTAATAATAATCATGTTTGACAATTATTGAGTGCTTACTATGAACCAGACACTATTCTAGGCTTCTTACATGTTTAAACTCATTTAGTCTTTACTAATCCTATAGGATAGGTATGATAATCACTTCCTTTTTATAGATGAGGAAACTGAGGCCCAGAAGGGGTAAGTAACTCACTGGTGATCACACAGGTAGTGGCAGAGTGGTAATTTGAACCCAGGCAATCTGGCTCTGGAATGTGTGCTCTGAACTTCATTGGAATTGGGGGGGGATGGATCTGGGTTCAGATCTTGCCTCTGTCACTTACTTACAGGATGACCTGGGGTAAGTTAAGTGAGAATTTGACAGCTACTAGGGACTGGTGCATCACTAGGGACCCTAGTATTCTTCTTACTCACTAGGGAACCACAAGGTGAACTTCAAGAGATAGTGGAGTACATGCAGGAGCAAAGGCTAAGAGTTAGGTAGGCAGGCAGAGGATAAAACAGGCCAGAATTATAATTATTTGTCTTATAAAAAACAGGAAGACAGAATCAGTGACTAAACTGTGTACTTTAAATTGCTTAGTAGTGTATAGACTGTTGTTAGTTGCTGTCGGGTTGGCTCTGACTCATGATGACCCCATATACAGCAGAGTGCAGTGTTGCCAGGTCCTGCTCCATCTTCATGATTGTTAGTATACCCAAGTCCATTGTTGTGACTACTGTGTATTTTGAGTGCCTTCTAACTTAGGGGGCTCATCTTCCAGCACCATATTGGACAATTCTGTTGTGATCCATAGCGTTTTCTTTGGCTAATTTTTGGAGATTGCTAGGCCTTTCCTCCTGGTCTGGAAGCTCCACTGAAACCTGTCCATCATGGGTGACTCTACTGGTATTTGAAATACCAGTGGCATAGCTTTCAGTGTCATAGCACACAAGCCACCACAGTATGACAGACTGGCAGATGGGTGGTGGTGTGTATAAATACATCTTCCTTATTTTATTGATTTGAACTCTGATTGGCTGATTGGGCATGTGAATTGCTGACGATCCACTAGATAGGACTAGGAAAAATGAAACAGAGGAGGCAGAAGGAGAGAGAGGTAAAAATAAGCTAGGGTCCCCGAATCAGTTTCAATCAATGATGACATCCATCCGGCACACTTGTCGCTACTCCTAATCCCCTGCCCCAGGCAGATGTTGATAATCAGTGCTTTGTAGCTAACTTCCACAAGACCTGAGAACCCTTCTCTAGTCAGCGCTCTGGACAGCCTCTACCAATTGATTGTGGAGCTTTTATCTTGCTCTCCTGGAGACTTTCCACTCATTTCTCTGCAGATGGCCAAGGAAGTAGCAAGTGGCAAAACAGGAGGCCTTTCTTTATCAGTGTCCCGGGTGGTATCACAGGAAAAAGCTTGCGGTGTTTTTTCAGAAGAACTTTCTCCTCTTCTCACTCTGTTCTATTTTTCTCTTTAGGAGTCTTCAACCCAAGACCATGCCAGAACTGGGGATGGGCCTGGGGGGAGGTAGGGTGTCAGGAGAGCAGAGTCAGCCTCTGAGAGCTGGCCAGACCCTTAGAGATCACCTCCCCAAATGACTGATGGGAAAACTGAGGCCCAGTTTGAGAGAGTGACTTGTTCGGGACCACACAGTGTATTAGTTTTCTCTTGGTGCCAGAACAAATTACCGCAAACCTAGTGGCTTAAAACGAAACAAATTTATTATAGTTCTGTAGGTCAGAAGTCCAATACAGGTCTCATGGGTCTAAAATCAAGGTGTCAGCAGGACTGCCTTCCTTTCTGGTGACTCTAGGTGAGAATGCAAACCAAAACCAAACCAGCTGCCTTTGAGTTGGTTCTGACTAATGGCAACCTCATGTGTTGCAGGGTAGAACTGTGCTTCATAGGGTTTTCATAGCTGTGACCTTTCGGAAGTAGATCTCTAGGACTTTCTTCCAGGGTGCCTCTCGGGGGGTTCAAACCACCAACTTTTTGGTTAGTAGCCAATTGCTTAACCGTTTGTGCCACCCAGGGACTCCTGCTTATTTGGCCAAATTCAATTTGTTGAGGATGTTAGACCAAGGTTCCCGGTTTCTTTCTGGCTGTTAACTGAAGGCCATCCCCTGCTTCTAGTGGCTGTCATGTTCCTTGACTCATAGACCCTTTCCTTCATCTTCAAAGGCAGCAACAGCAAGTTGAGTCCTTCTCATGTTACATCTTGTTGACTCATTCTTCTGCCTTCCTCTTCTACTTTTATGGACTCGTGATTAGATTGGGCCCACCTGGAAAATCCAGGATACTCTATCTCAAAGTCCTTAACTCTTGCCTCTGTTCTCATGGCTCTGCCCTCTGAGTCATTCTTTCCTTTTCATATTCACGGGGAATAGGACCTGGACATCTTTGGGGGGCCATTTTTCTGCCTACCATACACAGTGAGGCCTGCTTTGGGAGACTGACTTGGTGAGGATCACACTGTGAAGAAGGGGTAGCATC